TTTTAGCCCCCTGGGCCCGGGACACAACCCGCAGTCAACTATGTGGGAGTCCAGCGACATAGCCATTACGCTAACTGCTGGTCCCAATTTCTCGCTTTCTATCTCTCTGTCTCTCTCTGTTTTTCTGGCGAGCGCACGCGCCCTATAGCAAAAAACTCCCCCCCCCCAAAAAAAATGTATGGCACCAAAATAAACTTGTACTTTAATTCTATTTTTCAATGAACTCTTTGAAATACCTGTGCATGTAGCAAGCCTAACTCTCCTATGTTGAAAAGTCAGCTTCAGGGCAGTTTTTCTGGGGAGTCTCCCATGACCAACCTAACATCATGGGATGACTTACACACAAGTGCCTTAGTCTGTAGTTACCTCCTCGCTGCTCCTGTTCCCAGCCAGCCTGCAAAGTTCCTGGCATGCAGGGTTAATGTCCCAGCTTGGTACCCCTCACTAATGCCCACAGCACTTCGGAGGCTGCAAACGGTGTTCAGATATGCTGCTCTGTGGTCTGTAGCCCTTCTGGGGCTCCAAAATTTAACTGCAAGCCATTTTTCATACCAACTGCAAGAAGAAATTCTTTCTTTTTTAATCAACCAGAGATTCTACACTATAACAAATCTGGAAATGGAATCTTCAAAATAACTTTCAATTTGCCATGACCTGTTGTGAGAATTTATATATTAAAATATTTTTTAAAAAGAAAGGCTGCAGACCAGCCAGCCAACAGTGTAGTGGTTAAGGCGACTGGTCCCCACATGGCTGACTGCGTGGTACAAATCTCAGACTCTGCAGTTGGAAAAACATTCCAGGCACATGTGCATGCATGCCCCAAATCCTGAAGGGAGAGTGGAGGAGAAGGGATTGTAGCATGGCCATCCTCCATGGGAGGAGGGTGTTTTCTCATTTTCCTTCATTCTCTCTCTCTCTCTCTCTGGTGAGCACACACACCCTCTAGCAAATATTAAAAAAATAGTAAAAAGAAAAGAAATAAAAGGAAGCCAGCAATGGAATGACGTCCTCGCTATGCTGAGCTCAATCTCTGTTGCTGTGCCTTCTCTATAGCAGATGTGCACACGCGTGCTGAGACGAGGACTGCCCAGGTCATGGTGCCCTGCTCTTAGTATTCAACACCACACTGAACGTCCCTATTATTTTTACGTATTTACTATTTGTATTAAATGAGTTGGTAGAAATGAAATACTTATTATTATTTTCAACAAACATATGTAATTTTAAAAGAGCTAATGTAAATAAATACAAGTATGTATATCATAAGCATTTCTTCCATTTTTGAAGTTAATATTAAAGAGAAAAAACATACGATCCTGTGATGAAATTTAGAAACATAACATTGGGCTAACTAAATTATAGTTCTGATTTCAGGCTGCTTTACCTATGCTATTACTTACATGCAATTTGCATAGTGCTTTTTTTGGGGGGGGAGAGAGATTTTTGCTATAGGGCACATGTGCTTGCTGGAGAGACAGAGAGACAGAAAGTGAGAATCACCCCCCAGGGGGGATGGCCACGCTACAGTCTCTTCTCCTCCATCTTCCTCTCGGGGCTCTGGGCATGTACGCAAGTGTGCGCAGCCTGAGTTTTAAGCTGCTGGGTCCAGGACTCAAACCGCGGTCGCCGACGTGGGAATCCAGCAATGTAACCATTACACCATCTGCTGGCCACAGTGCTCTTTTTTTTTTTTTTTTTTAATAACAGTATATATTTACAAATTATTCCGTGTGAGCAGCTTTAAAAAGTTTATGTGTGGGGCCAGCAGGTGGTGTGGTGGTTAAAGTGATGGACTCCCACATAGAAGACTGTGGTTTGAGTCAGGGACCCAGAGGCTTGAAAACCACACTCGGTGCATGTGTGGGTGCTTCAAACCTCAGGAGAACAGATTATGCCACGGTCGTCCCCTCGTGGGGTGATTTCTCACTTTCCCTTTCACTGACTCTCTGACAAGACATGCACTCTCTGACAAAAAACCTTTTTTAAATAAAGAAGTTTATGTGTAGCTTAAAAAGTTAATCAGTGGTCAGGCCAGCAGATGACGTGGAGGTTAAGATGGCTGGGTTACACATAACTGACTGTGTGGTTCGAGTCCTAGATCCGGCAACTTGAAAATTACACCGGGCTCCTGTGTGTGTGTGTGCTCAAAATCCTGACAGGAGTATGGAGGAAAAGGGATTGTGGCATGTCTATTCCTCCCCTGAGGGGCTATTTCTCCTCTCTCTCTCTCTCTCTCTCTCTCTCTCTCTCTAACTCAGGCAAGTACATAGGCCCTATAGCAAAATTTAGAAAAAGAAGAAGAAAAGAAGTTAATGAATGGTGATTTCTTTTAAGATTTATTTTCCTTGTGAATTAAAAAAAAAAATGTAAAGGATTGAAATATTTTAATGACCTGTAGGAAATTTCCCACCTTAAAAAACAAAATCTGAAATGCCCCGTGGAAAGAGCAATGGAATACTTAAAGACAAAGAAAAACAAGGCACATAGCCTCAATAGGCCGAGTCATATATTAAGAGATTTCTCATTCTGAAAAAATTCCAAATAAAATTAACAAAAACCACATGAGCACACAAAAATGTCCTTACTCTGAGATAGCCACCTTCCACACTGATCTGACATGCTAGAAAAGCTGTGAGTCGCAAACCTGCCCGTGCCAATTCATTCTGCAAATACGTAGGAAGACACGCCACACCTGTCGTAAGCCAGGCATTGCCGTAGGCACTGGACAGAAGCAGCGGCTGTGACCCCTGTTTTTGATCTTTAATTCTAGGGGATTGGTGAATAAGATGATAGTAAATCAGGGAATTCCACTGAGGCCCCACAGATGCCCAGGATTGGGATGGGGTTAAGACAAACTTCCATGCACAGATCTGAAAGGAAATCGTCTCTTCTATGACTGGTAGCCTTACCCATATGGAGGAGGCGAAAGAATCAGGTTCTTAAAGATTGGAGACGGAAGAAAGGATGGGAAAAGAATTTTTCTTTGTTTGAGAGATTTTTGCTATAGGGTGCATGCGCTTGCTGGAGAGAGAGACCAGAAGGGGAAAATCACCCTGCAGGGGGGACAGCCATGCCGCAATCCCTTCCCCTCCATTCTCCTCTCAGGATTTTGGGCACGCATGCACACACACCTGGCGTGAGGTTTAAGCCACCAGGTTCAGTACTCCGACCTCAGTCAACTACATGGGAGTCCAGCAGCACAATCATTATGCCATCTGCTGGCCCAGGAAGAGAATTTTTTGATGGCCTATGAGGTCCCCCACCTCACCATGATAGGAGGCAGGTGAGGTTGACCCCAAACTTGGTGAGAAGAGTTCTGATCAGCCACTCGGAGGTCTTCAGACCACTTCCTGCAGGGTGATGTGTTGGTGAGATACCCAGACCTCACTCACACTGAGAAAGCTAGTCTCTGGCAGTGGTTGGGGTACACCTGGAAGCTATTGCACCTCCTTCCGTGGGAACCAAAGGCTCCTGAGTCCCTGGCACCACTGTGGGGTCTGAGGCAGAAATGTCAACCTGGGCTCAACTTATAGAAATCTCTCAAGGATAGAGATTGGGCAGTAAGAGTCAGGGGATTTGCCAGGGGGCAAGAAAGCAGAGTCAGGAGTGAAAGGAAGACACTAACCCCTTCAAGATGCCTTCAGGTGGAGGGCCACCGAGAGCATCTGCAGAACACACAGGAGCAACCAGCAGAGGACAAGGCAGCTATGAACTCATGCTAGCCCCAGAGCACACGGCCACCTTACAAGAACACTGGCCAAGTAGAATCCTTCCTGCCACCTTTGCCTCTGCTTCTGCCCTCCTGCACTGCCCGGGAGCTACCTGAATGCAAACGTCGGTCACAGTGTGATTCCCGTTCTCTTAACCACTACCCCTCACTGCCTCCCAAACCACCTCTGGACGCTGGTCTGAAGTGGCTTGGCAGGCTAAGACTCTTCCCCCAGCCCCAGGGCCTGGCAGACGCCAACCACTCAGGCTGTGCAAGAGAAGTCCGGGATGGTTTTCTGTAACTGGGACAAGTTCTATTTGCAAAGATTGGTCAACAGAAAGCAAAACAAGGCAGAGCAAACAAAAGTGGCTTAGATTTTTTTCCCCAGAAATATCAATGGATTTGTGATCCTAATATTTTAAAATTTTTGCTATAGGGTGCATGCGCTTGCTGGAGAGAGAGACCAGAAGGGGAAAATCACCCTGCAGGGGGGACAGCCATGCCGCAATCCCTTCCCCTCCATTCTCCTCTCAGGATTTTGGGCACGCATGCACACACACCTGGCGTGAGGTTTAAGCCACCAGGTTCAGTACTCCGACCTCAGTCAACTACATGGGAGTCCAGCAGCACAATCATTATGCCATCTGCTGGCCCAGGAAGAGAATTTTTTGATGGCCTATGAGGTCCCCCACCTCACCATGATAGGAGGCAGGTGAGGTTGACCCCAAACTTGGTGAGAAGAGTTCTGATCAGCCACTCGGAGGTCTTCAGACCACTTCCTGCAGGGTGATGTGTTGGTGAGATACCCAGACCTCACTCACACTGAGAAAGCTAGTCTCTGGCAGTGGTTGGGGTACACCTGGAAGCTATTGCACCTCCTTCCGTGGGAACCAAAGGCTCCTGAGTCCCTGGCACCACTGTGGGGTCTGAGGCAGAAATGTCAACCTGGGCTCAACTTATAGAAATCTCTCAAGGATAGAGATTGGGCAGTAAGAGTCAGGGGATTTGCCAGGGGGCAAGAAAGCAGAGTCAGGAGTGAAAGGAAGACACTAACCCCTTCAAGATGCCTTCAGGTGGAGGGCCACCGAGAGCATCTGCAGAACACACAGGAGCAACCAGCAGAGGACAAGGCAGCTATGAACTCATGCTAGCCCCAGAGCACACGGCCACCTTACAAGAACACTGGCCAAGTAGAATCCTTCCTGCCACCTTTGCCTCTGCTTCTGCCCTCCTGCACTGCCCGGGAGCTACCTGAATGCAAACGTCGGTCACAGTGTGATTCCCGTTCTCTTAACCACTACCCCTCACTGCCTCCCAAACCACCTCTGGACGCTGGTCTGAAGTGGCTTGGCAGGCTAAGACTCTTCCCCCAGCCCCAGGGCCCGGCAGACGCCAACCACTCAGGCTGTGCAAGAGAAGTCCGGGATGGTTTTCTGTAACTGGGACAAGTTCTATTTGCAAAGATTGGTCAACAGAAAGCAAAACAAGGCAGAGCAAACAAAAGTGGCTTAGATTTTTTTCCCCAGAAATATCAATGGATTTGTGATCCTAATATTTTAAAACCCAATGTCCGTTTTCCTTTTCAAGATCCACGTCTCTTACTCCCTAGAGGAGTCTTGGAGCCCTAGGGAAGGACCTCGACAACCGTCCCTAATTTATGTGGCTCATGCCTAGCCAACAACTAGGAATCTTAGGAGCACAGTGATTTGCCGCTAACTGAATCCTTAGGGTGACAACTGATAGGTTGACAGTGTATGGCTGATCACATGCTTAGCTGTTCCCTGCTGTGTGTATTTTCTTTCTTACTTCTCAGCTGCTGCAGGCGAAAGTTCAGCTGTACCATCATGGGGCTGATTCGATCATCTTAGCTTGCTCTTAGGGACTCTTGCATTTAGTTCATTTAAATTGTGTGTGCATGTAGAGAAGAGGGTGTTTTTCTAACAAATGGAGCCAAAAGAACCAGTTCAAGATGCCCGGATGTCCGCTTCCCAGAAACATTTGGCTCAGAAAAGCCCAAAAGACTTTTCTTAGGGGCAGAGAGTACAAATCCATATCGAGAAAGTGGTGACGACTGCGTTTATTTGAGAAATAACTTCCTTATGAAAAAGAAAGCCACTTACCGCACTGAGGGACATCACAGTAGTCAAAGAGTTTTCTTGGGTTCATGGTGTAGCACCAGGGCCCATTGACGTCACCGTCAGGATTCCGGCAGTACTGGGAAAGAGCAAGTGTGTGAGACACGGCCCACTCGGGCGGAAGGGGAGGTGTTTAAGCACAGTTTTCATGTCTGTCTTGGAAGATGAAGAGTTTTCCTTTTCACTTTTTTGTTTTAAATTTTCTCAGACCAGAGAAAGATGGGGTGGGGAGGAGTGAGAAAGCTCTCCCCGGATATGGGGGGGCAGGAGGGGTGGCCATGCTGCACTCCTTTCTCCTCCATTCTTCTCTCAGGATTTTGGGCACGCACATACACACACACACACACACACACACACACACAAGTATATGCACACACACACACATGTGTCCAGCATGATTTTCAAGCCACCTTGTCCAGGACTCAGACCACACAATGTGCCACAGGGGATACAGCTGCCTTGACCACCATGCTACTGGCTGTCCTGGAAGTTTCCCTATTTCTCCCTTCCTTCCTTTATCTCTCTCTTCCTCTGTCTCTTTTATTTGTTTGCTTGTTTGTTTTTTCCAGATATCAGTTTTGGATGCTTACAAATCTGCTGAATCATTGGGTGCTATTGGTATGTCCCCTCGTTCAGAAGGCACTCCAACACTGAGCCGCTCCCAGGATGGAGCTAGTGACTCTGTAGGGTGCTGAAGTAGAGAACGCACAGGTGGCTTCCCCTCGAGGGCCCGAGTCGAGGGGCTCTCAGAGACTCAGCAGCAGAGGACAGGGGGACACTGTCTTATCTTGTCTCCTGTGGCCTTCAGCAGTCCTCCACCCAATGAAGCCTGTTTGCAGTTTATTCAGAAATGCCAATGTGCATGGATAGAGATACGGGGAGATGGTGTCTCTGCTCCTTCCTCTGATGTTGTGCTATAGTAAGTGTATTCACTCTCTGCTCCTTCCTCTGATGTGCTATAGTAAGTGTATTCACTATCTACTCCTTCCTCTGATGTTGTGCTATAGTAAGTGTATTCGCTCTCTGCTCCTTCCTCTGATGTTGTGCTACAGTAAGTGTATTCGCTCTCTGCTCCTTCCTCTGATGTTGTGCTACAGTAAGTGTATTCGCTCTCTGCTCCTTCCTCTGATGTTGTGCTACAGTAAGTGTATTCGCTCTCTGCTCCTTCCTCTGATGTTGTGCTACAGTAAGTGTATTCGCTCTCTGCTCCTTCCTCTGATGTGCTATAGTAAGTGTATTCACTCTCTGCTCCTTCCTCTGATGTGCTATAGTAAGTGTATTCGCTCCCTGCTCCCTGGTTCCTCGCACAGAACTCCTGACATCTTTGCAATTTCTGGACATAGTGCTTCTAAATCCTTTAGAGTTTCCTGGTGAGAGAAGCATCTTCCATTCTATTGAGGCAACTCTTGGTGGGCTCTGGAAAGCCCCAAGATGGGGACTTTCCCAGGGGAAACAATCATATGATGAGAGTGCTGGAATTTTTAACTTTACCCCTCAACTCTAGAGAGGGAAAAGGTGGGCTGACCCATAGCACAGTGGCTAGGCACTTACTACACAGTGGAAGCCAGATATCCTATGGCCAACTAGCGTTCAAGTCCCAGCCCAGGGGTCTTGAAAGACATGCTTGAAAGACACCCAGAATCCTAATTGTATAGAAAATTGGAGGGAAAGTTGGATTAAAGCATGGCCAAGCCCCACTGGGAGGTCCTCTCTCTCTCTCTCTCTCTCTCTCTCTCTCTCTCTCTCTCTCTTTCTCTCTCTCTCTCACACACTCACACTTGTACACATATGTATACATGCATGGCCTCTGGCATAAAAATTCAAATCAGGGGAAGGGCTGAAGGTTGAGTTGATCACCAGCAGACAATGATTTGATCAATTATGCCTATGTAACAAGGCGCCCATAAAAACCAAAAAGGACAGGATTTGAAGAGCTTCCAGATAGCGGAACACAGGCATTTCCCAGAGAGGGCCTGGAAGCTCCGAGCCTTCCCACATGCCTCACCCGTCCATCTGGCTGAATGCTTTTAATAGCCTTTATAATAAATGGGTAAACGTAAGAAAAGTGTTTCACTGAGTCCTGCGAGTCACTCTAGCAAATCGATCAAATCAGAGGAGGTAGTCATGATATCCCCAAATTATAGTAAGTCAGTTGAAAGTACAGGTCACTTTGGGCCAACAGGTGGCATGGTGGTTAAGGTGCTGGACTTCCATATGGCCGGTCACAGTTGGAGTCCCAGACCTGGTGACTTTCTGTCTCATTTTCTCTCTCTCTCTCTCTGTTTATCTCTGGTCAATTTTAAAGCAACAACAACAAAAATTAATAGATAAAATGAAATAAAATAAATAATTATTTTTAAAAAGTACAGGTCATGACTTGGGGCTTGCAACTGGCATCTGAAGTGAGGGGGCATTGCTGTGGGATCGAGCTCCTAACCTGTGGGATCGGACACTGTCTCCAGGTTGACGCAGTCAGAATTGAAGGACGCCCAGCCAGCATCCACTGGAGAACTGCTTGGTGTGTGGGGAGACAGCCTAGCCCTGATCTGATGTCAGAAGTGTTGTGTGGAGAGGTGAGAGCTGAAAAACGCCCCCGTTCTCCCTACAGCACAGACTTTCCTCTGCCTCCCCAAAGTGACCCTCCCCAGAGAGTGCATGAACTTGGGAAACCCTACTGCGTGGGTCCTGCTGGCCCGGCCAGATTTTTTCCAGAAATATCGAAGATGTCACGAATGATACCTTTGATCACTGGCATCTAGAGGACAAACCTAGAAGCAGCACCCGACAATGGAAGCATGCCAGAAATGTCACAGAAGGGCAGTAAGAGCCTAAGGACGTCAGCAGGCATCGTCAGCGGTCTGCTCCCTGTGGGCATCGTACTCGCCACGTGGGTGCCAGGTGTGCTCAGGTTTAGGCCCTGAGATCCGGCCAGTGTTTCCTCCCTCCCACCATCTTTTCCTCAACACCTGATTGGTCCAGATTGGTGTTCTGTGACACGGGACCACTTTCGTTTGCAAAGATTGGTCAGCAAGGGAGTCCAAACCCAAGTGGCTTACGTTTTCTTCCAGATTCGCCTGCGGGTTTGTCTCTGGAGTGAAAATGTTGTGTCGATGGGGCTCCTGGGCAGCCCATGGCTGGCACGGGGTGCCAGTGACAGTGGTGGCCTTCTTGCCCCGATATCCTTTACCGCTCCCAAACATGCAGTCTGTTGGAAAAACACAAGGGATGGCTGCGTGCTACTATCTAGAGTCAGGATGGAACGGGATCAGGGCAGTCATGTTAGGCTCCTCCAAGGGGACAGACTCGGCAGCCACAGCCTTCAGAACACAGGCAGTCTGCAGGTAAACACGAGCCCTGCCTGTTTAAGACGTCACAGGAAATGCAGGCTGGCTCGGGAAGACCACCTGTTCAGCAGCACGCTGGAATGCACTCGGAGCTAGGGCGCTAAGATAGTCAGCGTGGGAGAGGCGAGGCACAGCTCACCCTGGAGGATCCACACAACCCCTCACGGCACTGCCCGCCCTGTTACCGCAGGAGCAACAGTTCTGGCTCCCCAGGGGTGGCCCTGAGGCTCGAACCCCCCACAAAGCCCTGAAGGCCCCTACATCAGTAAGTGTCTAAGTTTCCATACATCCTGGCGTCCAAGTGGGAGCCTGGACACAGTCCCTCACCTTGTTCAGAGGGCTCCTGTGTACTGGGAACCGGAACTACCGGTGAAGTGACCACGATGCCCCCTTGCGTTTCGGAGCATTTCTTCAGGTTGCAGTACTCCCACCTGACCCTCGGGTCAGTGGTGTAACACCAAGGGCTTTTGTCGCCATCTGGATTCCTGCAGTAGTTCATTGTCAAGCCGCTGTCAATGCCAAAACAATGCAGGTCACCAAGGGGGGAGAATCTCAGGCACACCCGACATGCTCTAAATCTTCTTAAACAAGTGGCTTCAAATATTCCCATGAAAGGTGCAACAATAATGTTGCCAACACAGGTGGTCCTCAGCTTCTAAACAACTGCCAAGATTTCAGAGACAGTCTAGATTGTATCTTTAAACATCAAAAGTATGGGCCAACAGGTTAAGTCATTGGACTCCCACATGGTGAACCATGGCTCGAGTCCCAAATCTTTCAAATCATGCTGGGCACATGTGTGTGAACGCCCAAGATCCTGAGAGGAGAGGAAGGAGAGGGGATTGTGGCATGGCCGTCTCCCTGGGGATGGTTTCTCACTCTCCCTCTCTCTGTCTCTCTGGTGAGTGCACATGCTCTATGGCAAAAATAGAAAAGATTAAAAGTAATAAATGCTCCATATGAAAACTGAGAAGATATTAAAATGTGTCAAAGAACATCCTCTTTCCATATTCTGCTACATGCATTCCTTAGAAATCACTGATAGAGGGACCAGCAAATGGCATAATGGTTGCATCATTGGACTCCCTCATAGTCCACCATGGTTCAAGTCGTGGACCTGGCAGCTTAAAACTCACACTGGGTACATGTGTGTGCATGCCCAAAATCCCAAGAGGAGAATGGAGGAGAAGGATTGTGATGTGGCCATCCCCCCTGGGGGGTGATTTCTCACTTTCTGTCTCTCCAGCAAGTGCATATACCCTATAGCAAAAAAAAAAAAAAAAAAAGGCATAACTGATAACAGATTCTGAAGCTTATTTTAGATTTTTATGTACATACAAGTCTGTCTGCATCTGTCAATTTCTCTAAATACAAGTACATAGAGATGTGTAAGTTGGAACTAAAATATATTTCCCCCAAGGAAGGAATGACTTACAAGATCTCAACATTCCCAGACCAGCCCTCTTGATCTATTTACTCATAATGTGTTAATAGCTAAAACACTACACATTTACGATGGGAAAAAACAAAAAACCCTGAAACTTCTATTACTGTAAACATGGTATCCGGCAGATCAAGCGAGCTTGGGCTTAGAAAGCTGGCCTGGAGAGCTGGTTCCCAGGCAGAATGGCAGTCCCGTAGGAAGCATGCCTGGGCAGGGGCCCACTCTCTCTCAGCCACCCTGGGCTGGCTGCACCCATTGCACTACGGGAGGAGGAGGGGGCAGAGTGGCCATGGAGGAGTCAGGAAAAAAATCTGAGCAAGAGACGTAGCAGCAAGGGTCCTGGGAATGCCAGAGGCTGCAGTCCGCTCCCGCCTCCTGAGAACACTGGCCAACCGCTCACAGCACTCAGCCTTGAGTTCCCTTTACAGCTCCGATTCATGACCTGCGGCGGTCTGAGAAAACTCAGGCTGTGTTACGCGCTGTGGGGACCAAACGCTGTGTCTGTAGGCAATATAGACACTGTGCGTGGCCCCAACCCTGGCCCACAATCTGAGGAAGCCTGTCAGTGGACTTCTGAACAACTGGGTGTGTCAAAAGGCAGCATCCGAAACAGAGTCCTGCCCTCTTTTTAGTTGAGATAGACTTTACATGTACTAAATGCACAGATCTGAAGAGTACTTGGGTGAGTGTTGGTGAGCACATGCACTGAGCTGACCTGCACTCCCATCAGGATATGGAAGGTTTCCATCGCCAGGGCAGCTCGCCGAACCACGGCCCAGTCTGCTACCACCCCAAGGGCAAACACCGTTGGTTTCTCTTACCTTTTCCATAACCTCTTGGAATCTGGCCTCTCCCCAATATATCATTTTTGAGTCTACGTGTTCTATTATGCTTTGTTTGGGGAGGATTTTTTTATAACTGTGCTGAGAGAGAAGTCAGGAAGTCTCCAACTGTAATTGAAGCCTTATCTAGTTCTCTCTACTTCCATCGGTTTTTGCTTCATAAATCTGAAGTTCTGTTATTAAAATATAACACGGAGTCATTTTATTGCTATTTCTCTACGTAAATTTATCTTCTTATCTGGCTTCTTATAAGATTTTTCTCTTTATTTTTGACTTCTAGCAATTTAGTGTGATGTGCCTAAGTAAGTCATGCAGTTCTATTTTTAAATTTTGGCTTCCGAATCACTGAGCTTCTTTTTTAGGGGGAGGGGCAGATTCAACGTATCTTTTAGTTTCAGAAATACAAATCAAAACACATTTGTTACATATCATTTTAAATCTGAGTTTATAATTTTCTTCACTTTGGAAAATATTCAATCATCATTGCTTAAGTATTTTTTTCCTGTCCCAATATCGCTCTCCTTGTGTTCTGAGACTTGCTTTACATATGCATTAGATCTCTTGCTATTTTTCTAGATGTCTTTGAGACTGTTTATCTATTTATCGATTTTTCAGTCTTTTGTGTTTCTAGTTAACATACTCTTCTGTGAGGTCTAACCTGATGGTAAGGCCAGCCGGTGATTTCTTTTTTTTTTTTGGGAGGTTTTTGCTATAAGGTGCATATTCTTGCCAGAAAGACAGAGAGGGTGAAACTTCCCATGAAAGATTACCTTGCAGAGTATGAGGTTTTGCCTTTGAATTGTGTCTTATCGCTGGGTTTTCTGTATTTTAAGTGGTAGCTAGTGTACCTTACCCGTTTTTTTTGTTTTTTGTTTTTTGAGAGGTTTTTGCTATAAGGTGCATATGCTTGCCAGAAAGACAGAGAGAGACAGAGAGACAGCGAGAAATCACCCCCCGGGAGGATGGCCACTCCACAATCCCTTCTCCTCCATTCTCCTCTTGGGATCTTGGGCACGCACGCACACATGCCTGGCGTGAGTTTAAACCACTGGGTCCGGGACTTGAGCTGCAGTTGACCACTTGGGAGTCCAGTGACATAGCCATTACGCCATCTACTGGTCCCATCAGTTGGTAAATTTTGTATTCAAGATAGATTGCTTTAGTTTTTAATTTCCACTTGGCTCTTTTATCATTTTCCTTTTTTATATATATTATCATTTATTTCTTTTATGTCTGTGTTTTCCTTTAAATACTTGAACACTATGGCAATGTTTTAAAACTTTCTGTGCTTTCTTTCATTTCTATCACTTTGGGGTCTACCTGTATTGACTGATTTTTCCCCCTGTTATAGATTGCATTTAGTGCCTTTTGTATGTTTAGTAATTTTTAAATTTGTGCTGGACATCATGGGTGTCACATTACTGGGCAGTCTAGTTTTGTTGTCAGTCTCTAAAGAGTGTTGAGTTTTCTTCTGGAAGGTAGTTAATTTACTTGGAGATCATTATGATCCCTCTAAGCTTACTTTTAAGTTTTGGTGGACTGCTTCTAGAGCCTTTATTTTAGCCTTTATTCTATTAAATCTTCAAGATATTTAGTGAAGTCGCCCTCTCTGGCTCATCAGAACTCCAATTTCCCCCAATACTGTGTGACTTGCATGAGTTCTGTAGTCCTCATTTAGCTCGCCACTCCTTTGGTGTGCTCTTCACTAGCAGTTGTTCTTTGTCCTGTTTTCTTCGTGGGATGTCTCCCTGTCATGGGCAGCTTTACATACCACCAAAGATTTGAGGAGACCTCTTTGCATATTCCTGGAGCTCCTTCTCTCCCCAAATTCTTTCTCATTACTGCCCTGCGTAGAAAATTCCAGCTCCTCAGTAATCCCAACCTCCACTCTCTCTGCTCAGTGCAGCAAGACTGCTGTGGTCTGCTTCGGCTTCATCTCCTGGCCTTCAGTCCAGGAAGGGTCGTCAGGAAGAAAGCCAGGGAAATTGATGGGGTCGATTTCGTATTCTCCCCTTTCTAAAAGTTTTGTCTTGTGCTCTCTGTCATCCCTCATGTGAAAATAATTCTTTCCATATATTTTGTAGTCATTTATGATAGAAAGGCTGCTGGTCAGGCCTGGTCTTTCTCATCTACCTGCCCCTTTCCCCTGTCAGCCCCTGTGTACTTCTCTACTTTCACCTGCCTTCCTGCTTCTGCTCTGTGGGTCCTGACAACCCATATCCCTTCAGAGCGGTAGTGCTCACAACCTGGGGTGTGAGCGAGTACAGGTTAGATTGTGTGTGTGTGTGTAATCATATACGTATGAATATTGTACACTCACACATATGTATATTGACTTGTGACTCAAAACACAAATGACACACACAAACTTCACTTCAGAGGTTGAGGGTCAGAACAACGAAATTCCATAGTTGAAAGACTGCACTGATATCCAGAGGGTGCTATGGAATGTTAGAGTTTCTAAGCTTTTTGGATATTTGTTCTCCTGAGCTTTCCAATAGTGTAACTTTACCGCCTCCGTATATCCCCTCCGCTCCCACAGAACTGCTCAGGAAAGACAACTAGCCTGTCATTTCTCTTCAGTCGGGCACTTCGCTTACAAGTAAGCTTCCTGAGACATTTTGCCTCACATTCTGGGTCTAAGAAAAATTTGGTCCTAAGAAGTTAACTCAAAGCATGGCTTTCTTTTCTTTACTTTTCTTTTTTCTTTTCTTTTCTTAAGAGAGACTTTTGCAGGGCTGGCAGGTGGCGTAGTGGTTAAGGTGCTAGGCTCCCACATGGTCAACCATGTGGAGTCCTGTACCTGGCGGCTTGCTTTCTCACTCCCCCCGACACCCTTACTCTGTCCCTCTCTGGTCAAATTAAAATAAATAAATAAATAAAGTTAAATAAAATATTTTTTTTTTAAAAAAAAGAGATTTTTACTATAGGGCACATGTGCTCACCTGAGAGAGAGATAGAAAGTGATAAATCACCCCCACCCCCACCTCAGGGAGGATGGTCATGCTGCAATCCCCTTCCTTCCACTCTCCTCTTGGGATTTTCAGCATGCATGCACACGTACCTGGTGTGAGTTTCAAGCCTCCAGGTCTGAGACTCAAACCACAGTCGACCATGTGGGAGTCCAGCTACGTAACCATTATGTCATCTGTTGGTCCCAGTATTTTAAAGAAATTTAAGTTGGTTAATGCTTCTCTTACGGTTAGAATCAAAGACATACGCATTGGGGAAGTTTTCTGGGGTCTTCTGATGCCGGTGTGGTGTCATAGATGACCAAGATTGGCATTTCTTTCCCGTGATAGTGATGGATGACTTGCCTCGGTAACTCTGCCCATTACCTTCGTAGCACTCCTGGACCACAGGGGTTTGCTCAGCTGATGCTGAAATTAAAATAGAAAAATTGAAGCTGAGTAATGATAACCAGAAAACCATGTGAAGTGATTTATCATGCAAACCAGACCGTAGTCTTGGGAATTGCTTTTCCGTATTGACAGGCAAGTGGACGTGCAAAATAAACAATCAATCCATAGCATTCTAGAACTTTAATGATCTATCTTTTCTTGGAACTATTTCATATAAAACTCAGGGGTTAAAATAAGCAGGTCCAGAGTATGTATGAATGGAAATTGTACTCATGCACAAGCTCTTTTTGTGGGTCTCTACTGGGTATTCATGAGGCCAATATGGCTGGAGAATGAGTAACGTGCCTTCGGTGGTACAGGCTGCAGGTGGTGACAGCCGCTGATGGAGGCAGACATGACACCATTGCACATTTCCCCAGAGGCCGAGCTCCTGTTAGACCGACACCTAAAACTTCTGAGGAGTGGGGCAGAAGATAATCCCGTGTCTAAGACTACAGGCAAAGACTGGTTGTTTCTCAGGGAGGGGTAGAGACAAAAATCCTATTCCCATAGAACAAGGACAGGGAATCTTCTTGGGCCCAGGATCCAGCACTGACACAAAGCTGAAGTCGACTACTTTTCTACACAGGACCCGTCACAGATACAAGTTTTCCATGGAAGGAGAGATAAGAACACAGAAATAACTGCCTCCGAAGCAGACATGTGCAGAGCCTGCCTAGGCCTGAAGGATGAACAGAGAGACAGCACATTCCCCTACTTCCACCAAAAGACAGCATTGAGTAAGAAAAAATAGCAGTCTACCCCTAGGGTCAGATTAGGTGTGTGAAGAGATGCCCTCTGGTATTTGAATTAGCAGTGACTGCAAGATTCTGAGAAAAGCTTAGGAACCTTGGAAAAAACCCTTGAGCACCCCAGGACCCACTTCAAACACAAGGAAACAGCAGCCCTTACTAGCCCTTACTAGAGGAATTGAAAGCCTGTGGTACTCTTAAGGTGAAAGGAACAAAGCAAAGCCCAAATTCAGTCCAACCTCTGAGTAGATTGACTTGGTTACCTACATGACATACTGATAAAAAAGGAAGGGAGTCTGTTTTGGAGTGTTTACTACAGTCTCTACAATCCTATTCATAATCTCCAGCATTTAGTAAAAATTTACAAAAAAGCAAGAGGGAAAAAATCCACTGTAAGTGATGAAGCAATCAACAGAGCCAGACTCAAGATGACTTCATCTGGAAACTATTTCATATACCTTCGGGATGGTAAGATAACTACGATTGCCGGGTTAAAGATTGTGTGGTAGAGGCAAACAATATGCATGGAGGTAGATGAGGAAGTTCAACCTAGATGGAAACTGTAAAAAAGTGCAGGATGGAAATACTAGGGGGGGGGGAATGGTACTAGAGATAAAGAATTTCGTCAATGGGATGATCAGCAGACCAGACACAACTGAGGAAATAATCAGTAAACTTGAAATTAGGTTCATAGGAATCATCCCAAACCAGGGTCAGGAAGTGGTGCAGCAATAAAACAAAATGCACTGTGAGGCAACCCAACATGGAAAGATTCCTGGTTCAAGTCTGAAGACCTCCTGGGTATGGCAGGTACATGCTTGCCCATGATCATGATCTAGGGTTGGAGGGTGGATCACAGCAACGAGACACTGTTGGGGTGTGTTATCGCCTCTCCCCATCTGTCTTTCTCTCTGTCCCTGACATTCACAGAAGAATGAAAGAAAGGAAGGAAGAGTGAGGCAGGGAGGGAGGGAAAGAAAAGAGACTATCTCATGGCCTAGAGGTTAAGGAAGATCTAGATCCCACATGGCCAGATGCATGGTTCAAATACCAGACCAGCAGTTTGAGAAACATGCTGAGTGTATGTGCATGTGTGCCCCAAATCCCAACAGGACAGAGAAATGGAGGAGAGGGGATTGCGGCACGCCATGCCTCATGATGGCTGTTTTCTTGGTCTCCCTCTCTCTGTTTCTCCATCTCTCTCTGGTGGTCACACATACCCTCTGGCAAATTAATTTAATAAAAGAAAGAAATTCTCCAAACTGAAACACAAAGAGAAAAAGAGTGGTTTGGGGGCGAGGGGAGAAGAATAAGCATATAAGAGTTATGAGACAATATGAAAGGTCTCACATTTGTATACTCAGTTTCAAAGAGTAAAACAGAGAGAGAGAGAAGGGAAAATAATAAATATTTGAACAGATAATTGCTGAAAATTTTATGAAGATATTAAAAAATCAACTATCCACAAATCCAAGAAAACCCAACACAGAATAAGTAGAAAAATGTGTACATAAATAAATAAACACATCTAGACACACTAGTCAAACTGCTGAAAAACAAGTATGAGAGAAAATCTTGAAGGCATTTTGAATATTGAATATGTAGAAACAAATATGAGATTTCTTTTTTTTTTTTTGAGAGGTTTTTGCTATAGGACACGTGTGCTCGCCAGAAAGACAGATAAAGACAGAGAGCCAGAAAGCGAGAAATCACCCCCCAGGGGGATGGCCACACCACAATCCCTTCTCCTCCATTCTCCTCTCAGGATCCTGGGCATACACGCGCATGCACCCTGTGTGAGTTTAAGCCACCGGGTCTGGGACTCGAACTGTGATCGACTACATGGGAGTCCAGTGACATAGCCATTATGCCACCTGCTGGTCCCCATAGATGAGATTTCTAGTCAGAACTATTCAAGAAAAGATAGTAAAAAGTCATCGTTAAAACGGTAAAAAGAAATAAAACTTATCAACATAGTATCTATACCCAGCAAAATTATGTTCGAACACTGAAGGGAAAATCCTTTTTTCCAACATGCAAAAACTGAAAGACTTCATCAGCATCAGACCAGACAAGAAACACTGAAGAGTAAAGAAGGAATTTGACACCAGATGGAAATTTGGATCTACACAGAGAAATGAAGAGCACCAGAAATGGATAAATAAATAAATAAATAAAATATTTAAAATATTTTATTTATCATTACTTTAAAACACCACTGACCATTCAGGGTAAAAATATTATCAGTGTATGGTGAGACTTATTTCATAGTAGAAGTATGCTTCTGTTAGAGAAAAATCATAGTACAACGTTTCAGGAAGGAGGAAACAGAAGTACCATGTTGTAAGGCTCTTACAATACATCGACTGGACTAATGTTATTTGAAAGTGGAATGTGAAAAGGTCAAGGTGCATATTGTAGACATAAGGGAAAACACCCAAAACCATTGAAAATTAATTCAACTAATAAGCAAATATTGGCGATAAGAGACAATCATAAAAATAATCCAGGCCTGGTCTAGGTGGTGCAATCCACAGCATACTGAGCTGCAGGACTGGAAGCCACATGTGGGTTCAGATCCCCAGGTGAGCCTCAAAGCATTGGCCAATGCCTGAGTGCCAAGATTCTGATGAGCAGGAGGTCTGGGGAAAGAGGATCGCAGCATGACAAGAGTCTGTTGAGGATACTTTCCTCTCTCGCTCTCCTCTCTCTCTCTTTCTCTCTCCCTCCCTCCCTCTCATGTGCATGCCATCTATCAGAAATTTAAAAAATAATAGTGGTAATCTAAATCAAGACAGAAAAAAGAACAAAGCTCAAATAGAACAAAGAGAAATAGCTAACTTGATTGTTGCTGTAAGTTCTACAATATTCAAAACAAAAACTCCACAATATTCAGTTGCGTTAATGCGAATAGCCTAAAGTCTCAATTAAGATATTGAGAATAATATATATCATACAAAACTAGTGAAAATAGTGACAAAGGCTGCATTCATAACCGCAAAAATAGACTTCAGAACAAGCAATGTAAGACACAGTACGTAATAATTCAAGATTTAACAGTCCTAAATATGTATGTATCTAACAACAGCTTCAAAATATATAAAGCAAACAGAGTTAGAAGTGAAAAAAGAAACAAATTAATCTATGTTAAAATTGGACATGTCACCATTCAAACCTCAGTACTCAATGGGAAATCAGTCAGGATACAGAACAATTCGAACAACAGATTTGACCGAGTCAACCTTTCGAGAGCACTTTACCCTTCAAGAACAGAAGTCATATTCTCTTCAAGAGCACATGGAACATTCACCAAGATGGCTACATTCTGAACCATAAAACAAACCTCCACAAACTTAAATTAATTGAAACCAAACAGAGCTTGTGCTCTGACCACAATGGAAATAGTCAAATGGATGCAGCTGCTGCATATGGTGAGGATGGCACCGGAGAACAAAAAGAAGGAGCTTGTTTGGGCCTCGGTCAGCTCTCATGTCCCGTTCTTACCTGGGGTATCCGCCTGTTCTGGGGATGATGGAGAGGACTCGCAGGAGGGTATCTGGCAGTACTCCCACCTCACTGTACTGTTGGTCGTGTAGCACCAGGGCGCCGTCTCTCCATCAGGGTTGCGACAGTAGTTTTCATCCAGATCTCTGAAAAACAAGGGATTGTGAGTTTGACTTTTCCAAAAGGCTAAATAAACATGTTTGTTAAGGGTGATATTAGATATGTTTCTAGCTAAACTCTAGAATTAAACAAACTGAGAGGGTCAGGGAGGCAAAGCATTAATGGCACAAAGAAGTGTGGTATTATCTGTTGAAGATATTTCATAGTTTTATCAACAGTACTAGGGAGAAATGTTCACCTGTTGAAATATCCATTTTGTAAGCCAAATAATAATGTGATTGAATGTATGGAAAAAAATGAAATGAAAAAAAATTTAAAAAAAAAAACTGAATAGCAGGTCTGGAAGAAAGCTTAAGCAGAGCAAGATTGCCTAGAATTCCCTAGAAGTATTGGCAAAGATGATGCTTCTGGGAAAATGGATGGAATATATTTCTTGACTCTTTATAGTCAAATGAAGTAAGTCTTTAACTAGGTATTGGACCTGTACTACCTGCTAGAAATATAAGGGGCCTTTTAAAAGTGGATGGACGGGGCCAGGAGGCGGTGTGGTAGTTAAGGTGCTGGATTCCCACATGGCTGACCATGGTTTGAGTCCCAGACTGAGTAGCTTAAAACTCACACCACACCAGGCGTGTGTTCATATGTCCCCAAAATCCTGAGAGGAGAATGGAGGAGAAGGGATTGTGGGGAAAAAAAAAAGAAAAAAAGAAAAGAAAATTGATGGAAAATAAAAATTTCAGCAGAAGATTACTTTTGGTGCATGAAAATTGGAATCCATGCATGGCTTTTCATACTACACACTTTGTATGAGTTTTTTGAAGACCTTTGTACAGTGGGTATTTCCCACCCTGTTCCTGCCCCTGGGAGTGCCCATCTTAGCCATGGAATGTAAGTGTTACAGTGGTTCTTCTCACATCTTGGTATGCATTTAACTGAAAACTTTTCCAAACGCATTGTGGGACTTGCCCCCATGTTCCTGATTCATTTTTCTAGAGAAGGCCAGGAACGTGCATTTCTGACAAATTTCTGCTGATGCTAATTCTGCTGGTCTGGGGAACCCCACGCTGAGAACCTCTGTTACTGAAAAAAACTGTTGGGGACCAGCAGATGGAGTGATGGCTATGTCTCTGGACTCCCACGCAGTTGACCATGGTTTGAGTCCCAGACCTGGCGACTTAAGACTCATGCCGGTGCGTGTGCATGCATGCCCAAGAGCAAGAGAGGAGAACAGAGAAGAAGGGATTGTGGCATGTCCATCTCCCCTGGTGGGAGGTGATTTCTCACTTTCTGTCTCTCTGTCTCTGCCTCTCCAGTGAACACACATCCCCTTTACCAAAAAAATCGATTAAAAAAAATTTTAAAAAGAAGTGCTTAATCTCATTGCCTTTGCATATGGTTTGACAAGCTTTCATCCCAGAATACTTTAATCCTAGGTTCCTATAGTAGCTAAAACCAAAGCAAAGCCACAGGAGCTCACACTGGAGTGAGGATAGAGCGACTTACTTGCAGGGGTAGTTTTCCGGGGTCTTGTTGTGCTTGTGAGGAGTCTGTGCGCTCCAGCGCTGGCAGGTGTTCCCCGACACGGTGACAGCCACATTCCCTCTGTAGCTCTCCCCTTTTCCCTTCAGACACTGGTGTGTTGGACCAGAAGATGGTGGGGGTGTTGCTTCAATGGGGAAAATAAATTACAATAAATTCTTTTATTTGTGATTTTTGCTTTACATTTCATTGTTGTACACCCTTATGGTCTACATCCATCACTTCTAACATATAACTTATAACATATCCACCTGCCCTGTTTACACGCCTTACTTACATGCCTCTTTCGTACTACCTGCTAGAAATATAAGGGGTCTTTTAAAAGTGGATGGACGGGGCCAGGAGGCGGTGTGGTAGTTAAGGTGCTGGATTCCCACATGGCTGACCATGGTTTGAGTCCCAGACTGAGTAGCTTAAAACTCACACCACACCAGGCGTGTGTTCATATGTCCCCAAAATCCTGAGAGGAGAATGGAGGAGAAGGGATTGTGGGGAAAAAAAAAAGAAAAAAAGAAAAGAAAATTGATGGAAAATAAAAATTTCAGCAGAAGATTACTTTTGGTGCATGAAAATTGGAATCCATGCATGGCTTTTCATACTACACACTTTGTATGAGTTTTTTGAAGACCTTTGTACAGTGGGTATTTCCCACCCTGTTCCTGCCCCTGGGAGTGCCCATCTTAGCCATGGAATGTAAGTGTTACAGTGGTTCTTCTCACATCTTGGTATGCATTTAACTGAAAACTTTTCCAAACGCATTGTGGGACTTGCCCCCATGTTCCTGATTCATTTTTCTAGAGAAGGCCAGGAACGTGCATTTCTGACAAATTTCTGCTGATGCTAATTCTGCTGGTCTGGGGAACCCCACGCTGAGAACCTCTGTTACTGAAAAAAACTGTTGGGGACCAGCAGATGGAGTGATGGCTATGTCTCTGGACTCCCACGCAGTTGACCATGGTTTGAGTCCCAGACCTGGCGACTTAAGACTCATGCCGGTGCGTGTGCATGCATGCCCAAGAGCAAGAGAGGAGAACAGAGAAGAAGGGATTGTGGCATGTCCATCTCCCCTGGTGGGAGGTGATTTCTCACTTTCTGTCTCTCTGTCTCTGCCTCTCCAGTGAACACACATCCCCTTTACCAAAAAAATCGATTAAAAAAAATTTTAAAAAGAAGTGCTTAATCTCATTGCCTTTGCATATGGTTTGACAAGCTTTCATCCCAGAATACTTTAATCCTAGGTTCCTATAGTAGCTAAAACCAAAGCAAAGCCACAGGAGCTCACACTGGAGTGAGGATAGAGCGACTTACTTGCAGGGGTAGTTTTCCGGGGTCTTGTTGTGCTTGTGAGGAGTCTGTGCGCTCCAGCGCTGGCAGGTGTTCCCCGACACGGTGACAGCCACATTCCCTCTGTAGCTCTCCCCTTTTCCCTTCAGACACTGGTGTGTTGGACCAGAAGATGGTGGGGGTGTTGCTTCAATGGGGAAAATAAATTACAATAAATTCTTTTATTTGTGATTTTTGCTTTACATTTCATTGTTGTACACCCTTATGGTCTACATCCATCACTTCTAACATATAACTTATAACATATCCACCTGCCCTGTTTACACGCCTTACTTACATGCTCGTTCCCTCTACAATAAATATTTTTAAAATAAAGAATGCACAGATAGATGTTATGGACAGTTTAGCATTTTCAGAAGAAATCAATGTGGTAGAATCTATGAGTCTGTCCACCTGAACACTCTTCCCCACTTCTCTCCAAGTTGAACAGACTGAAAAACTGGACGTCTCCAGACACCTTTGTTTACAAAGCACCGTGAGGGAGAACTCTGGCTCATGTAAAAATCCATGTACCAGAGAGCCTGGCTCTAATTTCCCTCCAGCACAGAAAAAAGTAGAATACCGTAGACGTGCTCAAGAACCTACGTTAAGTACGTGTACTCGTAAAAGCGACGTCTCTGATGCAGGGAGGGGCGTGTTGTTAAAATGCAGAAACAGCCGGGAACCAGCAGTTAGCGTAATGGCTATGTCTGGACTCCCACGTAGTCGACTGCGGTTCACGTCCCGGATCCGGTGGCTTAAAACTCACGCCGGGCATGTGTGAGTGCGTGCCCAAGATCCCGAGAGGCGAATGGAGGAGAAGGGATTGCGGCGTGACCATCCCCCCTGGGGGGTGATTTCTTTCTTTCTGTCTCTATGTCTCTCTCTGTCTGGCAAGCGCATGCGCCCTATAGCGAAAATCTCTCAAAAAAAAAAAAAAAGCAGAAACAGACCACAAGAGTGTGGTCACTTCTGAGCCCCGCACTCAGACACTGATACACGCTTTCTTCTCAGAAAAGGATTAGGGTCCCGGAAGTGCTGGGCTCGGGTCATACTCACTGCAGCGGGGGATGTCGCAGAGTTCCCAGCGTTTGTTGGGGTCTGTGGTAAAACACCAGGGACCAGGCTCCCCATCGGGGTTACGGCAGTAATTCATCTTTAAGTTCTTGTTTGGAAATCTGAATGGGCAAGAAGGGTTTCAGTAAGACCGGACATTCGTCTTCACAGAGGAGTCTTTTCCAGTGAGCGAACACTGGCACCCGCTGTGTGCCAGCAGACGCAGGCCCTGCGAGGTCACTGGGTAGAGGCTGCCCGCAGACGTGACAATCCAGGAAGAAAGGCGAACCCAACATCCTAAGGACTGATTTTTCTTACAGGTCACATCCATGAAAGTCACTGAACTGAGACAGCAGGTGGCATGGTGATAGAGGCAGCTGGATCCCACATGATCAACTGTGTGGTTTGAGACCTGAGCCCTGCAGCTTGAAAAACACACTAGGCACGTGTACATGTGTGCCCCAAATCCTGAGAGGAGGATGGAGAAGGGATTGCATTGTGGCCGTCCCTTCTGAAAGGTACTTTCTCATTTTATCTCTCTCTGTCTGTCTCTCTCCCCAGTGAGTGAATGACCTATAGTAAATTAAAAAAAAAATCACTAAACAGTATCAGTATTCTAATATAGAGAATCCTTCGCATTCTAGCTATCCAGAAAACTGATGTGAGAAAACTCGAGTTATTCAGCTACAAATAATAGCGATTTGAAAATACAAAGTGTTCGAGTGCTCACTGCTGAAAGAGTCATCCAGCTCTTGGTTCAGTCAAGAAGCCGGCGTCTTCATGGCTTACAGGAGTGGTCTTTCTAGTCTGAGTCTCTGGTCCTGCCAGCCTTGAAGTTTGGAGAAACCAAAAGGGAGATGCCATGTTCCTGTGACTCTGGAGCCATGGAGTCCGGGCCGACGAGCCCTCCCGGGGGAACCCAGTGCCTATGGTGGGAGCACCATGGCACTCCACACCGGCCGCCTGCTGGGCTTATCTCACTCCCTGAAACTGGACTTGCTCGTCCAGCCTGGACAGAGTGGCAGCACTGGCGGGAGCGAGCCTCTTCTGTGGGTCATTGGACAGTGATGACGCGTTTCTGTATAGAAAGCATGCCATGACTTTCCCGACCTAGTAGATTCCTGGAAGTGAATGCACGCAGTGGGGGCCTTGAGGCCCTTCTAGGAGCGCTCCTTTGAAGAAAAGTGGCAGCAGCTGTGCTTTAAGCTAGCTACTCCGAAAGGGAGGTGCAGAAGCAGTGGTGAGGTTTCCACGGGGAGAGCTGGGCTCAGCCTCATTTGGGCAACTCTGCTACGCCTTGTTCCAGTCCTACGGTGATCACAGAATAAAGAGAGAAGCCAGAGCAGCTGCAGAGTGGGTGGCGTTCTCAGTACCACTGACGTGATAGAATCCTCATAAAACCGAACTCAGGGCACCACCATTACTTTCTAGAGCAAGGAGTCTTAATCTTTTTTTTTTTTTTTTTTTTTGAGAGCGAGATATTTTTGCTATTGGGTTTGTATGTTCACCTGAGAGATAAACAGAAAGTGAGAAATCACTCCCAGGAAGGATGGCCATACCACAATCCCTTCTCCATTCTTCTCTCTGGATTTTGGACACACACACTGCCTGGTGTGAGCTTCAAGCCACTGAGTCTGGAACTCGAACCATGGTTGACCATGTGGGAGTCCAGTGCCTAAACTACTATGCCACCTGATGGCCCCACTCCTGTTTTTAATTCATGGTCCTTTTGAAAATTTGGTGGAAGTTATAAACCCTCATCCCAGAATAATGCACCCATACAAATACACATAACTGCGGGGACTCACAAAACTCCTGATGTGTACCCACACATCATAGGTTAGTACACATGTGTCCCCATGGAGTAAAGGGAAGGGACACGAAAGGGTATTAAAAATTTGGAAAAGATACAAACAAGATATATCTGTATTTCTCAATTTTAAAAAAATTGTCTGAAGATATGTGTGTGGTCACCAGCAAGAAACAGAGACAGAGAGGGGAGAGGGAGAAAGCACCCCCCCACCACCACCAAGTGAGGCATGGTCACACTGCAACCCTCCTACGGTATTTCTCTATGCTGTTGGGATTTGGGACACCCACTCACATGTTTTTCAAGCTGTCCGGGTCAGAATTCAAGCCACACAGACGGGCACGAGGAATCTGGCTTCTTTAACTACAAAGCCATAGGCTGGCCCTGTATTTCTCAAATTGTGTGTGTGTATGAATCAGCTGAGGATCCAGTTTTAACGCAAAATCAGGTTCAGGCGACCTGAGATTCTGCTGCTGGTTCATGGACCATATTTGGGGTAGCAAGAATGTATGAGCACTTCACTTGCTGTCTTGTGGGAGGATACCAGCTTTGAAATTCAACATCAGGTGCCAGGGCCACCTGGTGGCTTGGTGGTTGTGGTGGCTGGATTCCACATAGGCGTTGTCATGATTCAAGGTCCAGACCTGGCAGCTTGAAAAATACACAGGGCACGGGTGTGTGTGTGTGTGTGTGCCCAAAATTCTGAGAGAGAAGTAGAGGAGAAGAAATTGCAGTGTGGCCATCTCCCCGAGGGGAAGATTTCTCATTCTCTCTCTCTTTCTCTCTTTCTCTGCCTCTCTCTGGCAAGAGCACGTGCACTATAACAAAACTAAAACACAAACATACATACGCAAACATCAGGTGCCCACTTCCCAAGGAACGCTAGAGTATCTAAATGGCATAGTGTCTGGGAGGGCTTACAGAGTCTTCAACATCAAATATTCCCGGCATGACTTACTTGGAGGGAAGGTATCCGTGCGCGTGCGGGGTCTGAGAGCCCCAGGCCTGGCATTCACGTCCAGACTTGGTCTTGGAAATTTTGCCCTCATAATTTTCTCCAGTGCAATGCATGCACTCATCTGGGCAGAGTGGGGAAGAAAGAAAGAGAGGAAGGAAGAAACCAAAATAGATGAAGCAAAATACAGAGTGAACTCCAGAACCCCACTAGAAATGTCTCAAATGCTGCTGGCCATTCGTCCCTACGTACTTCCCAACAACCACTTGATTTTTAAATTGGCAATAAAGACTCATCATTTTCTAATATAAGACAGAGGTGCTTCCCTCTTTCTAATGGTAAAATTAGCACATTTTGGTCAATATCGTTGTCGCCAAGACCGAATTCCGCATTTCTGTAATGCCACGTCCTCAAACTGCGATGCACAGGCCTGAGGTCACATGCCTATTCTTAGATGTCTGAAAGTTCTCTGTGAGTGGTTTTAAATATTTGGCATCTTCGTTTCAAAAACTTAAAAAACTTTTATGAAATTATTCTAATCACTTGAATGATCGCCAAATAAGCTGACACTGGTTTGGGATGGAAGGCCAATCTTCAGCTGGAGTGTGGTTGAGATGCATGACTGACTGTTCTTTTCTTCCTATACTGTTTAAAAACTGAAACCTTGATGCAGAATTATTGGCATGACGTGGCGAGGTGAAGCGATACACAACTTTAGTTTTTCTGGAGTAATAAGAGAAACAGGGAAGGCTTTACAAAAATGATGCACACCTGGCAAGCACGGCCCATGACCTGAAACAGTTCCCAAATACAGGGCCCCCGGAGTTCAAATAAAGAAAAGGGAAGAACTGGGTCCCCACACGGCACAACGACCACATTGTCACATCCATCCCCCCTTGATCTTGTCCCCCTCCCACTAAGAACTGCAGAAAAAAAAATGAGGAAAATCTCTTTAGTATGATGTTAATTATTTTTTCTCATAGACCTCTGAGGTGGGCTATGAAATTGGATGATCTATTAAAAGGATGAACTGCAGATTTAGAACATGGTTTGTTGCTAAGCTTCAGGTAAACCAAAAAACCTACCATATTAAATTGTTTACTTGAATTCTGCTGATTTTGCAGCTTTATTTCAAGTATTTGCACACATGATTGGTGTTTTATACTGGGGAAGACTTTCAAACTCAAGACATTTGCACCTAGAGTTTAGATCTAGAGCTCAAGTTGAGTTTGACATTGCTCATGTTGAAGAAACATTTTAATAAAAATAATTCAGGCCGATCCTGAGGTCTGAGCAAAGGGCTTTCTTTTCTTCTTCTTTTTTTTTTTTTTTTTTTTTTTGAGGAGATTTTTTTTTTGGGGCCCCGCACACC